TTTTCTTCATGTCTTATTCTTACTTTATATGTTAGAAATGAATGAGTATGAATTTTATATGCAAACTAGCCTATATTTTTCTGTCAGAAAGCACAAGAGAGTAGATGGCTGATTTCAAGTAAACACAAGATTTCAGCATTTCATAAAAATTGCATTTCAATAAAATTGAATTAATCCGATATTTCATTTGCTTTATATCATATTTTGTTACACGATTCTTGCTTCCTGTCAGACCATTAAGAGTGACAAACTAAGAATGAAATAAATTCCCCTAAGAAAATGTTCAAAATGTTCTTATCCCAACAACTCGGCACACTTGAAATGACTCAAATCATTGGTTGAAATAATGAAATCCAGACCAGAAAGCACTTTACACAGTGCCTCGTGCTATTTTGAAAGCTTCTATATGGATTAGCATGCTTCCTGCTCATCTGTGATCTGATTAGGTATCATTCCAAGGAATAAGGGAAGATGAAATTATTATCAAATCAGGCTTGTTTGAAGATATGCAGTGTACCCAATGGAATCTAAAACTGAGAGTGTTTGAAACTCTTAATTTTGCCTTCAAATTTTGTGTTTAAATTCTTTTGTATATTATGAGTTAGCCAATATATCTAAATATCCTCACGTACTGATTGTCTTGAAAGATGTGAATTAATCAAAACATCTAGTAAAGTGGAATTAAAGTGGTATATGGACCTGATAATATAATGACTCATAACATGTCACAATTTGATATATCCTTGGTGTTGCTGTAGTTCAAAGCTCTCGTTTCATAAAGTGTGAGGTCCGGAGTTGTGAAGCAATTTCCTAAATAACAATTTGTTATGGCAATGATGCTGCTTTCTGGGCTCAAGTCTAGTGTCCTGTCCATTATATCAAAATTTTTCCTTATATTTTCATCTTAAGCTTTTACTTTTCTGCTTACAAAGGATACATCTCACATCATGAAAATGCAATACATACGTGATATAAAAACTTTTTTGTTATTCAATCAGGATTTTACATTTCTACCCCAACTGGACCAGGAGGGAGACGAGAAAGAGTGGGACTTTTAAGCCTCCCTTTGGACCCCACATTGGAATCAGTCTGCCTTAGCTTCTGGTATGTTGTAGACACATGTTAAATGCTGTCTTATTTAATGAGTTAACATTGTCTTTCTCGGGTTACTGGGCGCAGATTTCACTAAGACATTGGCTGAAGTTCTAATGTATACGCTATTTCTCTTCCAATATATAAAGCAACAAAATGCTGGCAGATTCCCCTTCCCTTCCCCAGCAACTCCCATATTCAAGGAGAAAAGAGTATTTCAAAGACAGTGAAGGATTTAGAAAAAACATAAAATGCACTTATTCTAATGTTGAAGGAATCCAAACATTTTTTGCTTGTTTCCAAAATAGGTATTATATGTATGGTGAAAATGTCTATAAATTAAACATTAATGTCAGCAGTGACCAAAACATGGAGAAGACAGTTTTCCACAAGGAAGGAAATTATGGAGAAAATTGGAATTATGGACAAGTAACATTAAATGAAACAGTTGAATTTAAGGTTTGCAAAACACTTTGTGATTTATATTTGTGTTCTTTTTATGATGATACAATTATATTTATGGTGATATAGTGAAAAAAATTAAATTATTTTCTAAAGATAACCAGCTCACTTTCTCTACTTTCCTAATCTACCTGCATTTTTATCTTTGAATACTTTCATTTTCATTCATTTATTAACTTATTAAAAACCACTTACTGAGGAATAATTTACTACATGAAAGTATGGCTTATAATGGTCCATAATATCCATTGAAACCTTGTGGGACATTTCAGCTTTCTACAGCCACTTTCTGGCATAAGCAAACCATTTCTTCCTATATCCTTTGCTTACCTAGGACTTTCAACTTTTCACAAATACCACCTAGGTCAGTCCTGCACTTTTCTGTGGAATTATCCTTTCCTATTAGAACATCTATGCCCATAGGTATCCATCCATCCTGCCACACTCTGATTTAATCTCCATATATTTCCTTTAGAAACAAATTATATGAGCTGTATCACTGGGAAGTCTCTGGTCATTTATTTCACATTAAGGTGAATTAATTTTTCAGATAAGAGTTTAATGTGTTTTCTTCCTAAGGGTCTTTGCAATTAAATTATAGGATAATATAGGCTATTAGTTTGATCAAATTAACAATGTTCTAATTGGGTAATTTCAAACAAGATAGTATCATTTTGCAAGATGCATATTTGGATAGATACTGTCATCATGACAGTCTTCAGGTCTTCCCATGACTTGGTGTAACACAGGCAGTAGTCAATGGCTCTCATCTGGCTTTCTCCTATCTTTCTTTCTTCCTTTTTCCTTCTTTTCTTTCTTCTGATTCCATCCTTTTTGTGAAGTTTTCTCCTCCAACTTTCCAATAATTGAAGTTAAGATAAGAAAAGAACCAAATATCCAGAGAACAAAGAGATGGCAGAAGTGGGGAAATCAGCATTGCAGTGGCCAAATCTGGCTCAACTCACTGAGCAACTTTTCTAAAGTAATATAACTGAGTCCATTCCTTGAGAGCTAGCTCATCAGGGAGAGTAGTCGTATTAAGTTCTACAAATATTTGCCTGTTGGCTTTGCCACTTTTGCCACTTTGTTGTGAAATCTTGAACAAGTCACTGTAGTCTCCTTGAAACTTAATTACCTCATACATGAAAGGAAGAAAATAATACCTATTTGGAATAGTGTTTGACATGAAGTGTTTGACATGGAATGAATGAACAACTGAGTGAATGGATGACTGTACAGTAGGATTGAAAAATTAAATACGATAATGTATACCATGTGCCTAGCATAGCGATTAGCATATGGCAGGTATTAAGTTTACGTTTTATCTCTCCTACATAGGAGAGGATCCAGAAAAGTGCAGCTAAAAACCCACTGCCCCTGAGAACTTAATATCTGATGACTGGACCCTTCTCCCAAATCTGGCTTTGTGTCGTTTGGGCAGCATCTTCACACAGAATCCCACACCAACACCCTGGGTGAACTGTGACCAGTACCAGCTGGCCCTCAATGTTCCTATTATACTTTTCTCTTATTCTTTTCTCCTTCCATTTAAATTATCTAATCAGTGGGTCTTCTCTTCAGGGCTTATATGCTCTAAGAAGGCAGATAGCTACCTGGATTTTTAATATTGTTGGGAGGAGAAATCTGGGAGACAGTTGCTCTCCCCTGCTAGACAATGTGTATGTATGACAGAGAACAATGGAATCTGACAGTTTCATGAGAGAAAGACAGAGAGACAGAGACACAAAGACAGAGAGATAGAAACTGTAACAATATTGCCTTACTCAGAAGGAAGACAGGAGTGAAAATTTAGCCAGGATAAACACGTAATAAGGCAGTTGGGTTCAGCAGAGGGCCTTAAAAAGCTTGATCCATCAATATTTCACGATGTGGTAACTGGACATTGTATATTTGGAGATGGCCATATGTATTCTCCACAGGATATTGGGCCAGAAGAAAAAGGACCAAATCAGAGAATATTAAAGTAGAATCATTGCATATACCTCTCTGAATTGCAGGTCGCTTTTCATGCCTTTAAAAACCAGTTCCTAAGTGATATAGCATTGGATGACATTAGCCTAACACATGGGATCTGCAATGAGAGTCTTTATCCAGAACCAACTTT